TTGTAAATAAACAAGTGGAGACGTTAAGAAGATGATGCGTTGAATTAGGTGCCTCAGCAGTCATCTCTAAGGCAGAAGATTTGTGCCTTTTTGACACCTCACCTTGTAAGCTGTTAACCACCACAAAAATATATACTGTTGCGTCAGTTTTTACGATGGAGCTGAGAAATCCAAACACCCATGTAAGACCAAGGACACAAGTCAGCTTGATGCACAGCAGAGCGAGACTTGTGTGGCTTCCCTGGTCGGACAATTTATTAGTTACCTGCATAAACAGAGTACAACAAATGGTTGGCGTAAGAATCTATTGATTTTTGGTAATATATTAATAATCTGGCATCAAGCGACTGGTACTCGAGAATACAAAACAAAAATATTGGGCAACAATCCGTCATAATGAATTGCATTACTGAGATCAACAGCCTCCACAACAAAGTGAATTTGTTAGTGAATGCCCCCTATTATGTGTTAACCCTCGATAAACAAAGGTTTTATCTTATCCTATCTTGTCCCGTCCCGTCCCGTCCCGTCCCGTCTCGTCTCGTCTCATCTCATCTTATCCTATCTTAATTACTGGCCGAGATATCAATGCGAAAATATAACATTAATCTTAGAATACATCTCAGAGATAGATGCGTTGGAGTGAGCCCTGAAAGATATTAGGTATCAGTAGTTATCTTTCTCAGACAGAAAATACACTATACACTTTACATGATACTGCTGTTATTTCCTTATAAAGTGGTTTTGAAGAGCAGTCGCAAAACATCCTAATTAAATAAGGATAAAGGTCAATTGGGCACGCATCTTAATGAAGACTGGAATTGCTTCAACTGTATAGGCTTCTTGTAAAATGCTTACCTGCCTAAATGAAATGATCTTACCTTGTGCACTTTGTAAATAGAAATGACCGTCCAAGTTAAAGCTACGAAATTAAACACAATAACCAATGCAATGGGGACACCAACAACAGCTAGCGACGTAGTACCATTTTTGATCCAGCAAAATCCACCGTGACCTGCCAAAAAATAACCTATTAAAATCTTACAATCTCGCAAGCGTACGATCGACATGTTTAATGGGAGGGGGGGGGGGGCATAAAGCTAAAATTTAAAACTCAAAACCAAACAAACAAATAACACACATGGCTTTGCATTAGCTTGGCAACCACCAACTCGTATAATTATTTTCAAACAGGCATTTAGCTTACCACTGACGAGTCTCTGATGGGGGTTGATCTCGCGACCCCCCGGAAACCTGGAATGTCAAGTATGACATTATGAAAAATACATATGTGTTAAATCCTTAGCCCGGTCATACCAATGCAGTAAGCAAACGCATCCAGTCTCTCTCGAATACGAGACAAATCTTATTTGCACGATAATGTATCTTATGTAACAGAAAAAAAAAAA